AGCTGGGATTTGAACCCAGGGCTGTCTGACTGCAAAATCCACGCTCCTCCTTGCAGGCCAGGCTGAGGCTGGCTCTATGGTAGGCTGGTGTTTATGGCCCAACCACCACAGTCTCTGGGTGGGGTGACTTCCCATCTCTCAGCCCACCCCTGCTACCAGCACTCCATGATGACCTTGAACCTGTCCTGCTCCCTGGACAGAAGAGAAAAAGCACCCTTTTTCTTTCTGCTGGCCCCCCCTGCCCCTCTCTCTTCCGTGTTGACTGCAGAAAGCTATTCCCGTTTCCTCCAGAGTCCCAGCCAGGGACAGCGGTGGCCCTATCAATTCTGGCCTCTGTGGCCACAGCAGCATCCCGTCTCTGCTGGCCTCAGGGCACACACAGCTCTCTGGACCTCAGCTCCGTTTTCAGAAGGACTCCTATTGGAAAGCAATGATCACGGGAACAAAAGACAATATCGCGGAAATAAGCCCAGGTTTACAGCACATTGTCCTAATCCCAGTGGACTTCTAGACTGCCACTGTCTCCCCTGAGATAGGTCCCCGATCCTGACCCGAGTCTACACGCAGCCAGGGGCTGATTTGAGCTGGCCCCACGGCGGTGACCGTGGTCACCCAGCCGCTTGCTGTTCCTGCCTGCCTCTGTCTGAGTGAGGCCCCGGTCAGTTCCAGCCACTGCTCTGACCTCTACACTCAGCATCTTCGATGGGGAACATCCTTCTCCCTGTCATTCCCTGCTCCTAATTCAGTGTCGGCAGTGAGCGTCATTCACTTTCCTATGGCTGAACTCTCACTCTCCCCTCTTCTTCTTCTTCCTTTTTTTTTTTTTTAATTTTTTTTTCAACATTTATTTATTTTTGGGACAGAGAGAGACAGAGCATGAACGGGGAGGGGCAGAGAGAGAGGGAGACACAGAATCGGAAACAGGCTCCAGGCTCTGAGCCGTCAGCCCAGAGCCCGACGCGGGGCTCGAACTCACGGACCGCGAGATCGTGACCTGGCTGAAGTCGGACGCTTAACCGACTGCGCCACCCAGGCGCCCCTCCCCTCTTCTTCTTCTTAAACGTTTATGTATTTTTGAGAGAGAGAGAGAGGGAGAAAGTGAGCAAGTGCGGGGGAGGGGCAGAGAGAGAGAGAGAGATTGAATCCCAAGCAGGCTCTGAGCCGACAGCGCAGAGCCCGATGCGGGGCTCGAACCCACGCACCGCGAGATCATGACCCGAGCGGAACGCTCAACAGACTGAGCCACCCAGGCGGCCCTCACTCTCCCCTCTTCTTAAGGCCCCAAGAGGGTAAGCCGTCCATTCAAAGCCCTATCATGAGCCGAAGGCAAAGCTGAGGCCTTGAACCTGGATATCTGCAGTACTTTTGCAGGAGCCCCCTGCGCCCAGCCTGCATTTTTGGAGCCTGAGCAGGGCCTACAGCTGTTCTGCCTCAGCTCAGAGCAAAGGCTAACAAAAAGCAAAAGCTCTGGAAAAAAGAGAAAATGTTCTCTGGATGCTGAATTGGTGACCTGAGGGAGGCATGTGTGTGCGTGGTGTGTGTGGGAGGCCTCTGACTTGTGCCCAGGGAAAGGTCACGGTCAATGAGCACGGCTTTGATGGGAGAGGGTCCGAAATGGAGCCCGGGAATTTCATCACGCAGCTGCTGGGCTTGGATGCGGGGCCCTCTGTCAGAGCAGGCCGGCGCTCCGGCTGGAAGGGCGACACGCCGAGGTCCTGGGGTACGGAGCTCCCGGGGAGGGGACTGGGTGGGGTGCATGAGGTATCTAGGAATTGGTGGTGCCCTGTGTGGTCTCACTGAGAGAAGCCAGGCAAAATCTGGCAACCGAGCCGGGGCTCTTGGCTTCGAGCAACAGGAAGCAATTCTGGTTTATTTAAGCAGAAAAGGACTTTATCAAAAGGAACTTGGGGAGTTCACAAAATAATCAGGAGGGCTGGAGAACTGGGTTTGGAAAGCAGGCCACACAAAGGAGACTGTGTGGCGGTCAGGACCATGGCCAAGGTCAGGCCAATCCAATGACAACCCCACTGCCAAGTCCGGGACGCCCCGGCTAACACTGCCACCTGTGG